TTAGGGGTTTTGGGGTTCAGGGGTTGCAGTGTTTAGGGGGTTTAGAGGTTTCAGGGTTTGGGGGCTTTCAGGAGTTGTAGGCTTCGGCTTAGGGTTATGTTTAGGGTTCTTCGGGTTTAAGGGTTTAGGGTTGAGAGGTTTTTGTTTAGGGGTTTTCAGGTTTAGGGGTTTTGGGGTTTTGGGATTTAGGGGTCCAAGGGTTTAGGGCTTAGGGTTGAGGGTTTAGGGTCCAGGGGTTTTACGGTTTAGGGGTTTCAGGGTTTGGAGGTTTTAGGGGGTTGAGGGTCTTAGGGTTCAGGGGTTTAGGGGGTTTTGGGCTTGGGGGTTTTGGGGTTTATGGTTTTTTGCTTTTGTGGGACCTTTTCTCAAAGGCACAAGGGGTTTTAGGTTTGGGGTCTAGGGTTTCTGAGGTTTAGGGTTTAGTGTTTTTTGGGTTTGGAGCTTTTAGGATTTAGGGGTTTTAGGCTTCGGATTAGGGTTATGTTCAGGGGTTCTAGGCTACACTGAACCCTCTGGCAATTTGTTGGAGGGAGCCAGCGGACCGCACGCCAGTGGTGTTTGACGCAAAAGGGGGGTACACTCGACAATGTTGCGGATGCACACTCGTCAAAAAAACGGATGTACACTCGACCCCACCCCCCCTGGGCAACGTTGTCAGGGACGGTCTGGTCTTCAGCAATGTCAGCAAGATGCGAGGAAGCTGTGTTGGCTTGGTCATGACAGCGCAATGCAACTTGAAGCAACTTAAGAAGGAATCTTGCCAGACAGCCGGAAGATGGCTTGAAGAGGATGTGTGGAGAATGTTGAACAGAATGGAAAAGTTTCTCGGCTCATGGACTGAGGAAGAATTGGCATCCTTGCAGGTAGGGAAGAGTCTGCAGCTCTTGAAAATTGAGCAGAGGCTCCGTCAACCTCAACAATTCTGCTTTTTGGCTGGAATGTCCCTTTCGGCATTTCCGCAGCCACGCCTCCGGTAACCTCCTGCAAAACACCATGCGATGATTCAGCATGATTCAGCAAAATCAAGCAGTTGGATGCAGTCTCGCCTTGACGATGAGGCCGAAGCAGGCATCTTCAGCTTGCAAGCGCAGGCCAACCTGGAAGCAGCTATCCATATCCTAAACCAGGCTCCAAAGCCAGAAACATCCAAGATCAAGCTGAAATCAGAGGATGCAACCTTTTTGCCTGCTTTGTTCAGCTGGACTGCCTGACATCCAAGCACAGCAGTTCAAAGTCAGTATGCACACCAACTTGTCAACGCGTTCGGGATTTAATACAAGCTTGTTACCATGAGCCAACTGTACCTTGCCATGCCGGGCCTCAGTCTTTGGATGTTCCACTTCAAGCTGGAGCTCGTTGCTGGCCCCGATGAGGTCAGCAAGCTGGGATGAGCTCTTCGCTTGGCCATTGACTTTGATCAGGCGGTCGTAGAGCCGAACACCCCTTGGCTGCATGCTTGTCATGACGTGTCATATGTGTCATGCTGTGCCCTTTGGCCTCCCTTCGCTACCAAGGCTCGCTTTGTGAAGAACACCTCCGGAGTCCACGCGCTTGAAAACCTCGGGGTTTCCCTAAGCAGCTTTGTCAGTCAAGTGCCGCCCCAGACGGATGGCCAACCCTACCAGACAGTCGAGAAACGCAGCATTCATCCTGCGACGTGTCCAGCAAACCTCCCAGCTTCCCACCCTCCTGAACATCCGGAGCCAAAAAGACATGTTTGTGGTAAATAGCTGACAGTCCTTGTTCACTTTCACGACAAAGATTGAGCTTGCTGCAGAAGATGTCCTGAGCTGCAAGCCAAGATTGGACTCACACTACCAGGTTGCATCAACTAAGCCCTGAAATGCACAACAGATGCCACGTGTCCGAATGAATCTGAGCGTCTTCGGCTCCGCTGCTGGAGCAGGGACCACTTTGATTTCAGGCGACTTCTCCGAGAGATCCGGTGGCGGCTGCTTCGTCTCCTGTTCCTGTTGCTCTGGCTTGCTCTCCTCTGTCTCCTTTCGGCAGAGACTTCAGACAACTCGAGCTCGAGGCCAACTATATCCCAATTGAAGAGGTGCTGACATCTCACGAATCCAGCTAAGGTACATCCGCTACAAACTCCTCGCTTCTGCCCAGATGAGCCCTCCCTGTGCCCAACTCATATGATAGGTTTAAGATGCTTTGAGCTTCTAGCCTCCCGGAAACGCACGTCCGGCTGTTCTCACGAAACTTTGGGATGCTGTGCGATATTTACATCGAGCCAAAAAGCGCATCATGAGGTGGGAATCACCCAGCTAGAATGCGATTTAACCAACCCTCCCAATTCAGGCCTGCGTTGAATTCAGGGGGGCGAAGGCCTCTTTGATTTCCATCGTCTCCTCTTCCTCGGCGGTCACGGTCACAGGACCGCGAAAACTCGTCAGCAGGCGTTATGTGCATGCAAGGTTCCTTCGCCTCCGTGGGAGCGGTCGCTGCAGTGACGACCTGAAGACATGAAACGTGGCTGTGGACCTGACGCGTAGTTCATCGAAAGAGTGTGCCTCCTCCGCAGGAGGTTCATTCACACAGCATGCGCACCTGAGCTGTCAATGTCCATCCTCATGCTGCCGATCAATGCCTGCATGCCTCGAGCAATAGGATCAATAGGCAAGGCGCCACATCTTGAACGCTGTGCGAGAACAGGACAGGTGGACGAGCTGGGCTCTGCTGAAAACAGCAGCAGAATTTAACATGCTCACGGCAGTGTGACCAAACATCAGAGATTGGAAAGTATGCAAACATGTCTACTGCATCCATCGAGAGCGTCCTGGCCACCCACACCCGGCGTGAGCTCCAAAAGCGCGTCACGGCCTTGGCAACAACAAAGACGCACTCCTTTCCAGCTGAAGTTAGTTATGCCCATGTCCCATTGCTGCACTGGCCCGGTGCGCAAACTTGGCACAAGCAGCAAACCCACTTCCAAACTAAAATGTGCCAGAAACCATAATATCACGAATACACGAGGAGCGCGCTGACCCCTGCTTGTTAGGCGGAGCTTGGTGGCAAGATGACAGTCTGTGCACCACACCGTCAGCTGTTGCTGAATCAAGATGGTCTAGTCGTCCATCTTCAACTGAGCGATGGAAGACGAGCAACTCCTGCAGCATCAAAAAAGCTTCAGACTGCGTTGCATGCCTTCTCTTGCTTTCAGAAAACCTCGAAGCCGCCTAGGTCCTGCTCCAGCACCACGCTCTGAGTCGTCAGGAGGTCATCAGCCGCCTGATGTCTTAAACACTGTGTTGCGTACCCTGACTGAGTTAGCATGTGATGTCTTCTTCTTGGAAAGCTACAACCCTTCTACAGAGATTCTACAGTATGGCCTGAAGCTCAGAGTCATACAATGCAACCAGCCTGGGTTCAAATCGAGCAGAACTCTTTTAACTTGCTCTGCCCTTCGTAGCATCCTGAAATGAGTCATCCGAAGGCAGGATGATTGATGATGGTACTTCCTGGGGCTCCCACTCTTGATCTGGACCGTGCAGCCCAGCGTCCTGCATGAGTCACTTTGTTATAAATAGACAGAGAGGTTTTGCAACAACAAATTTCGTCACTGGTGCGAGATGGTCATCATACTTGTGTTCAGAAGGCACATTCCTCAGCAGAGAGGTCTTCATCTCGCTGTTTCTGCAACTTGCGCTTGGCTTCCTGCGGATTCAGGACACCAAGCCATCAGGTGCAAGACATGCACAGAGAGTCTGCCAAGCTGTGGCCTGTAGTCTGCAGAAAGCACGTGCAGACTCAAGCAGCGGCGCAACTTTGGCTGACGGGAATGTGTCATCCGGCACCTGCACCACAAGCTGATGCATCTTGCCACAGGAGACTAACAGACAAAGAACTCCACTTCAGACCTTCTGGGTCAAATCCACCAACCGTGCTTGCCAGCTTGCCTGAGAAATAACGGAAACTTGCAGCATGGCTGTAGACGCATGATACTTCTCTGCCTCCAATGATGTGAAACAATGTGTTGCATGTGTTCTCGCAACATTGAAATCAATCAGGGTACGCTGCTGGACCAGCAAACTCGTTGGCAGGAAGCCGAGAATACCCGCCTGCAGCAGGCAATGCAGAGCCAAGCTTTACGGCACAAGCGTGCCACAGACATTCAGGGAGGGTAGCGTACCCCGACTGTCCCACATCTGAGCCCTTTCCTAGGGTTGGGTCCACAAGCTTGTCACGCAAAGGAAAAGTTGAGTTCCTGTTGCAAGGCAACGTATGTTGCACGTTGCCTGTCATGCAAAATCTTACAGCCCTAAAGTCCAGGGTGTTCAATCTACTCTCATGCTACTGATACTAATCTGCAAGAATGGCTTCACCCAAAACAAGAACGGCTGAGATGCACCTCTTGTGGCACAACCACAAGGTCCTCATGACTGCGGCCAACTCACCATGTTGGCAAGGTCCTGAAACAAAGCAACGGCAAGCTCCAGGTGGCACGAAGCGAATATTGTGAGCTGGTGTCAGCCCGGCACCTGCCTTTCCGCCAGCAGTCGCTGCAGACAGACTTTGCGAAACAGCAATTCCCTCAATTCCTATGTACACGAGCATCTGTGAAACATCTCTTCAGAGATGAGCCAAGCCGTGTCCGGCCAACTGTGCCAAGTGCCCAACAGTTGTAGCCTTCAGGCCGCGCTGTGTCAGCTGCATGAGGAGACTCTGCAAGCCCTGGAAGCACCATTCCCGAAAGCCTTTTTCCGGCATGTGGATTAATATGATGGAGCCATGTTCGGCTTGCCGCCCCAAGAATGTGCCAATGAACTCGCCATCCTGAATGACCGGACAGCATGCAAAGGTATCGCACATGACATTCTGAAGGCCCTTTTGTGCTAAAGCTGCCATCATCTCCGCGCTTATTCGTCCGTGAGGCGCCCGAAACCATTTCACTTGCTCTGCTAGGCCCGCTTGCCGCTGCAGGCTTTTGATACGCTCTGAACACTCGTCCAGGGCAGCAACAAAATCAGCATGTGAGTCGTTCGCATAACTCCGATCAACCAAACCATGATTACCAAATTCATGGCCATCTGCAAGCATGCCTACCAGTTCATCTTCATTTCCTGGAATGAACTTTCCCATCAGCATAAGCGTAGCGTGAGCATCATGCTGCTTCAGCAAAGTCCGAACACGTGGCAGAAAGGAGTTTGTGGGTCCAAGTCGACAAGGCACATCATCAATAGTGAGGGCGACATAGCCCTCCACGTTGGGGTACAAAGCCACATCAAAGTAACAGAGAGAATTTGCAGTGGCACCGAACCAGCTAATGGATGCTCGCGAGGCAACTTTGTTCCACAGAAGCTGCAGAGCCTGCGGAATGCCTGGAAGCCAGTCAGGCGGTATGAATGGTGCATCTCCCTGGTTCATCGCCTGAAGAGGACAAGTCGTAATGTCTCGCCCGTCGCGCAACCTAGCTGCTATTATGAGTCGTGCAACGCCAACACCCTTCGGGTCTAGCGGCGCTGTAAAGCATTTCACAACGCGGCCTTGTGGATCTAGGATGATCCGGGACCACCAAAGCTGGCTGTACCGTTGCTCAGCCGTCCCTTCATCGTCAAACTCCTCCCAGTACAGCTTCCGACCGCTGCAGTATCCCAGCTTCCAGGAATCTGGACGAAGTTGAGGCTCGCCATCATCACCCTCCAGGAATGATGTCAGGCCTTGAGTCAAGCCAAGCAAGCTCTCCTTGGACTTGCTGCTCCACCTTTCCAGCGTTGATCTCGAGAAGAGGTCTCCACTTACAAGGCCAAACCCATCCCAGCTAGCTGGTTGAGGCTCATCAGCACTCATAGCTCAGTTGCGCAACATTCGAAAGTGACTTGTTTTCGGCTTCATTGTGTTGGTCGAGTCTCAACGTTTGTTGCTCTCTGGCGTGTGTGGGCTCTCGCTGCGAGCAATGAGGCTCCACAGGAAGAAAACTCAACAATAATTCATGGAGAATCGAAAGGAAAATGGAAAAGTATCATGGAAGGGCTTAGGTTTGGGGATCTGGGATTTGGGGTTGAGAGCCTAGAGTTTTTAATCTCCAGTCCCCAACAATGGAAAAACCTGACAGAACATCAAACCGCAAATGGAATGAAAACGGAATTGCATAGGACATGCATCAGATGTACTTAGAGAAATTTAATTGGCACTACCCGACCCCGAATAATGCACACTCCCAATCAAATCTGCTGGGCATTGGGGAAGACTTGAACATATACCATCAGTGTAACCCGGCGCCTGCTCTGCGAGAAGGGTGCCGCGCTTGTGGAACGCAGTTCTAAGATGGTGGCTCAAGGTCACATATGATCAATGCGAATGCCAAGATTCTTAGCAAGTGGTGGGTAGGCTACCGTAAAGGCATACAGGAAGCTCAAAACAACACTTTGGTGCCAAAGTTCACGAGTGTCACAAACGTGTGTGCCCTGGAGCAGCAATAAGATGTGCGGAATGCACAGTTCGTCTGAGCATGTTGCTTCTGGAAACTTCCGTCCCGTGCCTTCAAGCGTTTCTTAAGAAGATCAACAAGCGTTTTTGATTGCAACGGACGCACCGCGCTGCAAAGCTCAACGCTCTGCGGCTTTCTCCTACGGTCCTACGAAACTACTTCCTACTCCTAGCATCCTAAATTGGCTGGAGCAACGGGCAGCATCCTGTACACGTCCCTGCAATTCTGCACTCCAAGGCCGGGAATCAACAGTGGCCAATGCAAAGCCCACTGCTCTGTCATCGAAGTTCGTGCCAGAGTTTCAGCGCGCTGCGCAAGATCTCCTCTTCATGGATTGGCTGTCTTGGCACTCATTCACAAAACCCAGCCAGCCTCCAGCTCAGTAGGTGGCTCAAGGCACTCCTTGCACTGCATTCTGCAGCAGTTCCTCGCAGAGCCCAACGCAAAAACAAACAAGTTCTGCTCGAGAACGACCACCAAGTCTTTTAGCACCATTACATCAGTCGAAGCGTGTGCCACAAGTGTGTCTGCAAGCCCAGCCTATGGCCTGCTGCATAGAACTTCTGTTGTACAAGTAGACTGAGATGTGAGCTATGCGGAGCAGTTGCTACTCCTTTCTAGCCACACATGTTTCATTGCCATCCTGCTTTACAGCTTTGCAGGAAGTCTGCATGAACTGAAATGCCGCACCTCCACCGTTCGTAGGACAAGTGCCTGGCCATCAGCCAATTCATCTGAACAAACCCATGCTCTTCTCCCATTTTGGTCACTTGGCATTGCTGAAATGCCTGCAAACTGTGGGAGGTTCCCTGTTGCAGACGGTACCAGACCCTGCATCTACTGAAATTTGCCGAGCATGCTCTGGCTGCAGGAAGATCTCTCTGAGTTAGTCTCGCCAGGAGGCGTGTAACTTCACGATGTGAGAGGTAGATGTGAAACTTCCCGTGTTGAAGAAACAGGTGAAGCGCCAAAGCTTGGGGAACCTCAAACAAATACAAAGGGTGTTGTAAAAGGATTTAGAAATTCTTGTTCTGTAGCTGGAGGAACGGCGTTGTGCTGAAACCAGCCGCTGGCGCCTGCAGACAAGCTAAACTCCGAATTGGAAATTGATTGCAAGAGAGCAAGAATTCCAGCATTTGATACACTCCCTGCAACTTTGAGTGTGGCAATGAAAGCTGTTTATGGGGGTCCCAAACAGATTCGCAGACCTGTCTTCGGTGAGTCCGAGCTCTTCTTAAACAGGGGTTTGGATGATTCTTGCCATGTTTTTCTAGAGTCTATAGAGGCGCCCGCATGCATCTGAAAGAGCATTGGGTCGAGCCAACTGCAGACTCTACCAAAAATGAAGTGGTTTGGTTCCGGCCCCAGTTGCTTGAGCATGTACAAGGCCGTGTCAGGGTTGAGATTTACTCACTGTGCTACAGGCGCGGCAACGTAGAGAAAATTGAGGCAATGCTGCCGCCAGCTCAAAGTCTGCACTAATTCCCTGCTGTGAAAATGGCTTGGAATTTGTATGCGTTTTTGAAGCTTCAGCCCGCCACCTCATGGATGCATTTGTCAAGGTGCTTGGGGTCCTCCAACGCATCCAAAAAAACTCGGCTCAAAATCAGGAAAGCCTGAAATGGAGAATTGGACCCCCAATGATGCTGATCCGGGGAGCCAGTCCGTTCCACTGCCTATCACCCCGCGCGAGACCATTTATCATGTGTTCTGCCTGTTTTATGATAGCGTGCTACGGCTTCGGAATGCTCATATTATGGTTGATGTAGGTTGTGGATGTAAGGATGCTTTGGAGGCGTGCCGGTAAAGGTTTTTCGGGCATGGAAGGCACAAAATCCCTGTCCATGGATTTGTGTTAAAATGCAACCCGAATTGTGCTCATGCTGCGGCTGTCCAGGTGAACACCTGCGCACGCATCTGTTGGAGTAGGAAATCCTGCTATCATTATGAAGGAGAGTGTTATGATTCTATTATGATTGTAGAATATGTCTCCTACTACTAATGCCGTCACTCCTGCTGAAAACTAGTACTATTATTGTTTCTTCCAGTACCAGCACCACTACTACTACAAGCACTACACCACCACTGCCACAGTACCACCACCACTCAGACAGTGAGCTTCAAGAGCGCAAAATCCACATGTCGGAGAGAAATGTTGCTACAAGTAGCCCAGCAACTCCAAATTAACACCCAAGAAACAATTCTGTTTTCTTTCATCTTTGCTGCAGCCCGTTGCAGTCTACGTAGGCCTGCTGCGGAGAGATGCCCAATGTTTTGGAGGGTTCTCATGAAGTACAGCTAACGTACCTCATCAGCTTTTGAGATGCTTAAAGTGGGGTGCCAGATTTCGCTGGAGCCGTAAAGGCGACAAAGTTCCTAGACGCTGGCGCCGCATGTGCTGCTACTGTAGCACAAGCTGTCTTACCAACTGGCTCTTGTGAGCATCTCGCACATGACCCATTCATACAGGCATTACACAAGAAGCAACAAAACATTTTTGTTGCTGAATGTTTGTACTAAGTTATGTGTCGAGAGGCCAGAAACATGCTCTCCAGCTCATGAAGCAGTGTGGCCGCAAAAGCACGCAGCGAGGAGCACACTGGCCTCTGCGCAGAGCGCAAAATTATCAAAGCAGACAGCATCAAGCATGCATGTGAGATGCCAAAGATGGTCTCAGGATTGTATTGTTGGGGAAGTATTCCTGCTCCCTAGTCTCAAAATCATCGCGAATAAATGAAAATATCAAAGGAGAGCACAAAAACGCATGGGGCGGAATGTTCCGCAGTCCAAACAAATGATGGCCGGCCCATCTCCCTTGGCTTAGATGAAAAGAAGTACCAACAAAAGTCTGCATGCATCATCCCCCATGATCTGCCTTCCTGTTTGCCGACTTGCTGGGACTTGCTGGGACTTGCTCTGCTGGGTTCCCAACTCAGCATTTAGCAAAACTCATGTCATTGGAGTAACTTGAGTAAACCGGCCGGTCAGGCTGTATCTCTGGGCAGGCAAAGCCCTCAGCTTTTAGAATGTAGTGGAGGATGGTCGCAGCAGCCACGGATCGATGCTTGCCAGCGCGGCAGTACCTCTAACTTGAGTACTCTGACCTTGCATACACCGAAGAAGAAGAAGAAGACTTCGAGCAGCGCACACAGCTATGCTGATGCTGGCTTTGCCACTTCCTGCTGGAGCTGCGAGGAGCGTCAATACAACAAGCTTCTCATCCAGCTATGTGATTTGCCAGGACACTTACGAAAGCGATTGCACACGTGATCATTCCGATCGCTTACTGTTTGTGTGGTCAATGTCAGCTGCATGCCCGAGCCTTTCGTCTGATCCTGGCCACGACCTTCCTTCGGGAAGCAGAAGCTGCATGTTCCGCGATTGCAGGATTTCAGTACCGCTCTGAACCAGGGCTGCGGCCAAGGCTTTCTGAATCTTCCGCTTCGCTCGCTCCAGCCACATCTTGAAATTCCTGCAAACTCAAATGTTGCCGAATTTAGGGGCGCAGCAGCGACTGAGTCCTGTGGTTGAACAGACGGGTGATGATCAGATGATGCCTCCCAGAATGCCTGCATTCACAGGTGGCCAGGGGCAGAGTTGTCCGGCTTAGATGAGGCAGAGCTCTGCAAATTCAATAGATCTGCTAATTATGGTATTGGCACCTCGTCAGCATTGCGGCATCAGGGTCTGGGAACCTCTACACACAGCCATTGCAGAAGGAACCGCGGAACTTGCACACACTTCTTTCCGAGAACGTCACATCCTTGCATCAAGTATCACATCAGAAGGGAACTTCCTGAGCATAAGCTCTACAAAATCTGTTGGCGGTGACCTCCTGTGAAACTAGGAACCAGTATCCAGGGTTCTGGCTGTCGAGTCAAAGCTTGGTCCAGCTCCTCATCACTGAGGCGAATGGCGGCGCCGCCACCTGCTGGCAATGTGTCATTTGAGCGTGCCAAAACATCGGATCAAGCCGCCATGCGATGATGAGCTTGGCAACTTGGCAAGTACAGGAAGATACCTTACCTGGAGTCCTAAAATACTTGTTTCAGCTAACGGCGTCGCCATTACAGCAAGGCTTTTTGCAGTTTTTGAGATTCGCAGGGCACTTATACTGGGGGTGGGGGGGAGGAGGGTGGGGTAAGGATAATTTCTTCGGCGTCTTACGTTTTCCAGGACAATACCTGCAACAGGCTTTCTTCTGAGCGCATCTTTTTCTTGTCAAACACACGGTGCTACTTTGCGCGCGACTTGAGGCAGGAGGGCTGCCCAACGCTCAAAGAATTCAATCCGGGCAACCATCTTCAGAACGGGTCTTTTCCAGCAATGGAACCGTGGGAGTTGCCTAGCACGCGCTGGC